CGGGGGGCGCGGGGGTGCCGTGCCCGCCGCCCCTCACCTGGAGACGCAGTTCTCCAGCACGGAGCTCTTGCCGGCGCTCTGCCCGCCGACCACCGCGATCTGCGGCAGGTCGAGCAGGCAGTTCTGGCCCAGTGCCGCGAAGGCATCCTGCAGCCGGTTAACGAGCGGGATGAGCCCCTCCATCCCGCCGCCGCCGCCTCCTCCTCCGCCCGCCGCCGCTGACAGGTAACGGCCGGCGCACTGCGCATGCGCCCCTCCCTCCGCGGGCCCGGGGGCGGGGCCTCCGCGGGGAGGCCACGCCCCCTCCGGTGCGGGTCCCGGTGCCGGTCTCACGATTGTCCCACGATTGTCCCACGATTGTCCCAAAATCCGTTCCTCCCCCCGTTGTGCCAAAGGCCCATCCACGCTTAGAGTGGATTTGATTTATTTATAGTTCATCCCCAGAAAGATGGCTGGGTAGCAAATCCACAAAGCCAGCAGGACGACTGTCAGAAGTTTTCCCTTTTTGTGGATTTTAACAAATCAAGGCGTTGATGCTTATTGGCTACAAGTTATCTAGTTCGCTTATTAATTAGTGTTCTGTCTTCTGTTGGTTAATGATCCTCTTCTTCCAGTGCTAATTAATTTGCGTGCTCAGTCTTTCTCTTAAATTAGTGGGATTTTTGGTTCGGTGGTCTGTGAGTCAGTGGTCACAATTTGGCAGAATTACCTCTTACCCAGCCAGAGCTGATTTCAACAGAGTTGCTCAGTTGTTTTTATTCATTTCTTCCTTATCTTGGGTGTTCTGCCAAATATCCTTGTACCCCTAAATTCTGCATTCTTTGTGTCAGCTGAGAGTGGTACACCCTTTGGTAACCTCCCCCTAGTCTGAGATAGCTGAAACACGTCAAGCCCTAAACCTGAACAAGGCCATTAATTTGTCTTTCTACCATCCGGACATCACTTAGAACTTGCTTGTTCGGGATTGTTTTTTCACACAGAGAGGCTGTGGAGTCTCCCTCGCTGGAGATATCCCAGAGCCAGCTGGACACCATCCCGTGCCTGTGCTCTGGGATGGCCCTGCCTGAGCTGGGAGATGGGACCAGGTGCCCCACTGATCCCTGACAACCTGACAAGCCATTCTGTGATTCTGTCCCTGCCTGACAAGGCCACCCGGCTGCTGGGACACTTGGGCACGGATCTGCCGGGTGTGCGCTGACCGAGGAGGGTCCGGCAGGGAGGACAGCGGGTGATGCTCAGGAGCAGGCTGGGAAGCCACATCTTGCTCCAAGCCGTGCCACTGCAGCGGGTGCGATTGCAAATGCGCGCTGAGGCTGAGCTAAGAGCTCGGGCACACAACAGAGATGAGATTTAGCTGCGATCGCTGGCAGCAGGCACACCATGAAATATGTGAAAGGCGGGCTTGGAGCCGTGCAGCGACACGAGTTCTCCTCTCTGTTAGAGCAGCTCTGGCCTCGCTCAGCGGGAAAAGCAAAACAAAGGGAGCTGTGAACATCCCGCAGGCTGACGGGACTAACGACCTGGAGGATTATCAAAACTTCTTGGCCAGAGCTCTCAGTAAGTGTGAAAAATTACTCTACAGCAGACTGACCTATAACTCTGAAACAAGTGTGAAAAGAGCATATTATATGGCACTATGCAGATATTTATTATATGTATTATGTTGTATTGGTTAGTAATGCTGCATTAACATTTTAATAGTATGGTAAATGTAGTTTTGTAGTTAAAATGTAGCTTTTGTAGTTAAAATAGAAACTATGTATGTGGGATCTTTTTTTAAAGAAAGGAATGAGGTACTCACATCAGATAGCAGACACAGGACACCTAAATCTTTCAGAGAAAGAGAATTTATTGCTCCATTATCAGAAGACCAAGTATAGATTCCCCACCTTCTGGGAAAAGCACAAACAATTTCATGATGGATACTTGTTTTATCATGAGAGGTTTTCCTCATTTTTCCAACCACTCCAAGGGAGTAGGGAAGGAGAGAGGAGAGGCACCCGAGCACATCTTTAGGTCTCTGCTTTTCCTGACTGACTTCTCTGGGCAACTTGTCCAAAGCCCCATGCAGAGCCCAGCCTGGCTTTCTGAATTTGCCAAGATTCAGAGTGGCTACATTCAAGGAAACAGGGGTGCTATGAGACCACTGCAAATCTTCATGTAACAAATAACCCTGAAATACAAGAGCCAAATCGGTGTCAGGGGGCCATGCAAGAATTTGTTCTCGGGGGGAGCAGTAGGGGCAGCCCCCAGGAGCACAGAGCTGTGCTGCTCACTGCTTAACCAGCTAAACACAATCTGGTTTTACCCTGCTGTGCTCACTTGTGCCCCTCATCATACAATACAATAAAATACAATATTTATCATTTCCTTTTGCTGCATGCCAGGCTCAGCAAGGAGAGAAAACCTCTGCCCAGCACCTTTCCTGGCACAGCAGGAAGGGTGGGTGCCCTGATCCCCAAGGTGACTCCAGCAGTGTGGTCTGATGTCACATGTCACCAGCTCCAGTCACAGCCTCTGGTGCATTTCAGATCAAGGCTCCAGACAGCAAGCTTGTCCTGCCATGACTCTCAGAGAAATATATGGCAAAAATAGCCTGGCTTCAGGGTGCAGCTGAACCCACAAACTCAGACACTTCTGCCTAACCAGGCAGTGACGTTAGCACTGAGGACATTTGGACCAGGTCCCCAGGCTGCTTCCCAAACACACAGCAGTGCAATTCCCTTCAGGAGAAGTGAGTTCTGTATAAAGCAGCCGAGTGGGGACCTGCAGATGCCTGCAGTGAAGAGCCAGGCACGCTGCCCTGCCCGGGGCAGCCGAGCACAGCAGAGGCTGCTCCTCTCCCCTGTGAACAGGCAGGCTCCTCCACACCTGCTCGTGTCTCCGGGGGCCTTCCTCACCTCCTTCTTGCTTCACACAAGAGTTTTGGCTGAGCTTTTCAGCTTGATGGGCACAGAGCAGGAGAGGTGTGGGCAAGGGGCAGCTCCCAGGTTCTCAGCAGCACTCGGCTCTGCAGTGGTGCCAGTCAGCATGATGCCCTGTGCATCTGCCAGGACCAGAGCTCAGACCTTGAAGCTGCAAAAGAAGGAACTCAAGCCCGTGAAAGAAAGCCAGAGTGGCGGCAGGGCTGTGATTAGAGTACTGGCTGCTGCATTTCTCCGTGTAAAGAGGATGTGCCCGGGGCACTGCTGACTCACTGATCGCAGGACAACACAGTCCCTGTCCCAGCTCTCCTCTCTCCTGCCCTGTCACCTCCAGCTGCATGCTTTGGTCGGGTGCATCCCATTGCAGGGTAGAAAAAGGGCACCGTGCTGCATTGCAGCCTGCAGAGGTGTTTCCCTGCAGCCCTCAGCACCCTAGGAAAGAGCTGCACTCCCTCCCTGCAGCCTGGCAGCACGCCTGCTTCCTTGGCCACACAGCCAGACAAGCCAAGTGCTTCCCCAAGGGGAGATTGCACGGACAAAACACTTCCCACGTGCTTCCAGCCTCTGGGAGAGGCTGCTGCAGCCCTTGTTGTGCTGGACCATGCCATGCAGCATCCCCAGGCAGTGGGGCCAAGGCTCTGCCCTGCTGAGGGCAGTGGGGCCAAGGCTCAGTCCCTGCAGCTTTTGCTGCTGCAAAATCTCTGCCAGCTGCTTGCTGTACTTTGAGCTGATGACAGGATGTCCCTTATCCACCTCCACCCTGCTTCTGAGAGAGAATTGGAGTGTCATTCTCTTCTCCAGAGCAGGGACCTGGGCTGTCACACTGTAAGGGGTGTACATGCACCACCCCATCAGTGCCTGCCTCAAAGTGTCACCATCCCAACAGCTGCCTGCTGACAGCCACTCTGGGCCAAAAACCCTCTCTGCATCCTTCCACCCAAGCTCAGGAAGCTCAGGGCTGACCCACCAGTTAGATCACAGCCCCTGGGAAAAGCCTTGCCATCATTTCTGTCTAGTTGGGATCCTGGGAGTTATTGACATAATTATGCCGATTAGCAGCATGATTATTTCTCTCATGATTATTTGTCATGATTATTTTGTAGTTAAAATAGAAACTATGTATGTGGGATTTTTTTTAAAAGAAAGGAATGAGGTGCAGTGTCCCATTCACTGGAGCAGCAGCAGGACATGGCTGCGATGCTCTGAGAAGGGAGCAGCCCAGAGCATCCCCAGCTGCCTCCAGCCTCACACCTGAGCCCTGGGGTGAGTCACACACCCGGCTCTTCTCGTGCTGGGAAAGCCAGCAAGGAAAAAGCCAACATCTCCGTGCCAGTGGGGGTTGCTAAGTGACGGCAGAGCTTGTTTCTATCCCGCCACTGACAGCGTGCCTACGCTGCAAGGGAAGGAAGTGAGGAGTAAGGGATGTAAACATGAGTGCATTGCCAAAACTCTCGGCAGAATCACCGCTGCCAAACATATACATTAGCTGCGTGTTTTGGCTGCCAGCAGAGAAATATTTACTATGTGTCAATTACTCCAGCCTTGGAGCATTTTACCTGCAGAGGAGGATTTGCAGCACTCATGAATTTGCCAGTTTTCCAGCTGAAATTATTTTCCAGACCAAAGTTGCTGTCAGTAGCTGCAAGGACAGCTGCAATGAACTGAGATTTCATCCTTACATTGTTTCTAATAGATGGCTTTTGTTTTTCCACCAGGATGTGGCGTTATGCAGCATTTTGGAAGCACAACAGAAAGGCAGGACTGGACAAGGGAGGGATGAAGGCAGCCTTTGTATGAGCTCCTGAGGAAGAAAGGAGATGGTTTCGGCAAAAAAAAGGGCACACACACACAAACCTATGTGGTTAAGATTATGCAGAGAATTGCAAACTAAGTTAAAAATAGCGTGAACGCAGCACTGCTGATCTAGTTGAAAAATTTGCCATTGCTAAGCTAGGTGGATAATAGATATCTTTCAAAACAGTGCTCATCACAGAGGAGCTTTAGAAACTGCATGGGGGCAGGCACACTTCAGCTCCAGCTTCTCCCTTGTTTCTCCCCCGTGCTGTGCTGAACTCAGCACAGGAGGAGGAGAATCACTGCAGGAGTGACTGGGTGGTGACACAGAGGGCACCCAGCCAGGCTGCCAGCCTTTATCTGAGGCAGGGAGCAGGCCAGCCCTGCTCTCCTGGGCCTGGGAACCATCCAAAGCACTTATTTAAAAAGCATCTGCTCCCTTTGTGAAGCTGCAGGTTAGCCCAGGGAGAAAGTAGGGCACCCATCTGTCCCTCTGTGGGAAGGGGAACAAG